ATCTGACAGTCAGAAACAAACTAGGAGCTGCACCATGATGCTTTGCCTGTGAGCATGGCAAATAGGCTGAGAGTTGGAGCATGTCTCTGGCAGCAGCATATTGAGTCTGAGGTCCTAAGGCCTGTTTTCCTGTATCACAGCAAGCTTTGCCTTAGATACAGTATCAGCAACCTGATAACATGTTACATGAGGACTTTCCAAAACTGCAGCTGAACATCCCTCCAGGAAGGTGATCTGAAGACCTTATATAATGCTTATATTATAAAAGGTTGAAGTTATGTATAATGGATTCCTATTGATTTCCAACTATAAAGAAGCAAGCCACAGAAGCATATTTAATCCAAAAGAATTCTGCAGGTCATGAGAGTAAAATCTACTCAGGCAAGCAACACTGTTTTGAGTATCATATCTAGAAAAAACTAAGTCCTGTTGTGCTGCATCATGTGGAGAAGAAGGTATCGGAACTGCAGGGAGTTGTATACAAGACTGTCTATGCTGCAAGAAAATGTTAGCCAAAGATTTTGTGGGTTTGTTTGTTTGATGTTTGGTTGGGGTTTTTTGTTCTGTTTTTGGTTTGAGGGTGTTTTTTTTGTTTTGTTGTTTTGTGTGTGGTGTTCTGGGGTGTGTTTTTTTTTTTTTCATGAGGCTTTTTTGTTTGTTTTATTTAGTTCTTCCTAAAGATTTAGAAGCATAGTTTCAGCAGTGGTTTCCTGGGTAGTTTAAACCAACCTTATATGGGCCTAAAGAATTTATTTTGGCCTATAGATCATATATTGATTGAAACTGGTTAGAAACCCATTGAAAGCATTTGGGAGTTCACTGAGGTAGACAAAGGTTGAAGGCAGCAATCCCAGTGCATTTTAAAAATTAGACCATCATTCTTCAGTGTATGTATTTCCATAATAAGCCCTTTGCTAGATATGACAAACAAAAGAAATGAGGATCAGGGAAATAATACTGAAGCTTTGCCCTTCAGTTAGTGGCCCTCACAGTACTACAGCCTGCAGTCACTGCACATCATCTCTGTTGCACAAAGCCAGTTTGGCTATCAGCAGATCCAACTTTAGCAGAGTTGTATCTCCTCCATTTCATCTTGACTTTTGTGTTTTAGAACAATTCACTCAATCTTTAGCTTCCCAAGCATTCTTTTGGATCAAAGGATAAATTTTACGTATTGCAGGTTCTGAGCTGGAGGTAGATACGACAGAAGTTGGAACAGACATTATTTTCTAGATCAAGCATATAACTTGAATACCTTGAAGAACACTTAATTGAATTCTCTAACTTCTGACTGAGTCCTGAAATAGGTTTAGTTGCAGACCCCTGATACGTATACATGGCTGGTTGCATTTTCACAGACCAGATGGACTGTCTGGTTTAATGTCCTGCTCAGACAGCAGCCCATGGAAGATTTTGTGGGAAGATCATTAGGTGATGTTATGGAATGGTGATACTTTGCAAATACTTTCTTTGACTCTGTAATCAGTGAGTTTCTGGCCAGGAGATGGTATCTTTGTATATGGACAGTGTCAGTGACTCTTGCTTCTATGAGCTTGTCTAATAATTTCTGAACCCCTGTAAATTTTTGCTGTCCTTAACTTCCTGTAATAAGAAGACATTCACAGTTTAATTATGTGTTATGAGGAAAAACTACATCTTTTTGTTTGTTTTAACCTGCCCACCTGATGACTACTTTTGGGTTTTCCTATGTCTTGTATCATGAGAAGTGAGTAATTGTTCCCTGTTCTCCTTCTTCCTGAAGCTCACGATTTTATAGATATTTTATGTATTTCCCTTCAGTTGTCCTTTTTCCAAGCTGAAGAGTCCTTATTTATTTAGTCATCGCTCAATATATAAGCTGTTTCATACCTTTGATCATCTCTACAGTATTTCTTTGGACTTCTTCCAGTTCTACTGTATGCTTTTTGAGAAGGGAGGAGGCACAGGGGTTAGAACTGTCCTCAGTATGCAAGGGGTGATGCAGTTTTGGCTTATATGGTAGCATAGAAGTGTTCTTGGCTTTGTTTCCTGTGTCTTTCCTAATAATTCCTAACATTGACTTTGCTTTTTGAGAGTATTTTAGTGATGTTTTCACAGAAAAATCTATAACTGTAGTTAGAAGGTCTCCTTCCTGAACAGAAATAAGTAGTTCAAAGTCCATCACTACGTAGAACCAGGATTGTGTTTCCCTGGGTACATGACTTTGTAGTTATTAAATGGAATGTCATCTACCAGTTTAATATCTGATCATTCAGTAATGGCATTTTTTTTTCACACTTCACAGTGACTTTCAGCTTTTCAACAGCAAACTTTTTTTATTTCACTCTCTTTCTCCCCCTCCTCTCCTCTCCCAGACCACTTATAAATGTTTTGAACAGCAGAGGCCATAGCTCAGATTCTTGTGGGACCCCAGTGGTAATCTCCTTCCATTTTGGAAATACCCATTTATTCTAGCTCTGGTTTCATGTGTTTTAACTAGTTAAGAAATCCATGAGGGGTAACCCCTTTATCCTACTATGGCTTACTTTATTTAGAAGCATTTTTAATGAACATACCAAATTTTATCAACTGAGACATTGATAGTGTGAAAAAGTTAGCCCAGGCAAATAGACAAATATGATTGCTGTTTAGTTCAAAACAGATGTATTCAAGATCATGATCTTTCAATAGTATTGATGGGGAATTAATCAGGCCATTTACTGAACACTAATATGACTTTGATGGAGCTCCTGAATGCTTTTCGCCTTTGTATCTGGTGTTTGTTTCAAGGGCTGGTCTGCAACATTACCTGACTTTATGGGAATGGGGGGAGTGAACATAACAGAGACTCCATCTGCTTCACACAGGGGAAAAGTCCAGTAAGCTTTAACATCAGAATGAATGGTGGAGTCTGTATTTATGCAGTGGAAGGACTAGATATGGCATGGGAGTTTAGTCCAGGTAACAGGAACCTGCTGGATAATCCATGTGGTGAACTGGTGGGGTTGGAGGGGAGACAGCTTCGTTTCAAAGATTCCTTGTGCCTCGGTCCTCCTTTTGAATTATGCTCTTTGTGGCATCCTATGCACAGGGAACAATGCTGGGAGGCCAGCAGCACACACACATATTCATGGATCCAGAGCTGAGAAACTGCAGGTAAAACCACAGTAGTAGAGGATTGTAACTCTATTACTGGGTCAGAAGGGGGAAAGCAGACCCAGAAGCAGGAAGCAGATCTCCCAAGATTAACCAAGAGCCACATTTGGACCTATACAATTTGGGTTTCAGGGCCTGTGTACTGTCTGCAACATTACATTGTCACTTTTCTAACCACTGGTGAGAGGAAAAGAACTGAGACTGAGAATCTTGTAGCAAAAGGGAGCAGGGAGTGAGTCATTTATCTGGTGTTGTACTGGGATACAATGGGGAAGCAGAGGACTGAGGAAGCATGGGTGGGATTTCTGCTCTCTAGAGTAGTCTAGAGAAGGCTACCTACAGCCAGTGGCCAGTAAGAGAGCGGTGCTTCAAGCAGAAGGAGGCCTAGAGGATGCAGAGTAGAGATGCTGGCAGCTGAACTCCTTTCCCACTAGACTGTCTTGCTGCTCTGTTGCTGAGGAGCTGATCATGGAGAGTGACCCTTTAGTATTTAAAGTCCCTGTCCTCAATTTGCTTTGAAAGGGATGCGTTAGGTTATTTTTGAGGGAGAGTACATAAGGCTGGTAGTTGCTTCTGATCTTGTTTAAAACATCCTTCCAAAAATTTTAGGGGTTTGCTGTGATGATGAAGCTTGTGGGGGAAGGTGCAACATATTAGAGGGAAGCTGTGACATGTTCCAAGGATCTAGGTTGTGAGTTTTGATAGGGTCCTGAAGGAAGTAGATTGTAGTAACTCCCTTGCCAAAACCATGGCTTACATTCCGAGTCGTGGCATGAAAGACACCAAATGTCTTTTACATCCCAGTTACTTATGACATGCATAGGAAATAAAGGGGAAGTCTAATATGGGAATCCAAAAGTAACATTTGGAAAGAGTGGCTGAGAGAGAGAGAGAAATATGACAAAGATCAGCAGAAACTTGGGAAGCTCAGACATTGAAGCTTGGAGGTTTTATTAGCCAGGGTGTCTGGATTCAGTGGGTCTGTGGCATCCTGTCTTGTGAGCACAGGATGTGTGAGCTGCTGGGCCATTGTAGCCTTCTTAGGACACCTTGTGGTCCTGTCAGTCTGCCACCTGCTCTCTGCAAAGCCTCTCAGCCTTGTGGAGAAGTGTGCTGGTGCTGCCTTCTTGACAAGGCTTACAAACTTCAAAGCAAGCCAGTGAGCTCCTGTTGGTACTTATCACATTGCAGGCCACAGCTGAACTCCCACTGTATAAGCCTGGGTTGTAAGAGCTCCTTCCTCTTTGCAGGAGCCTTTTTCTCCTCTGGGAAAGGCTTGCATTACTCTGATGATGAAAGAAATGAGCCTGTCTTCAGACCCCTCAAGTCTTTTGGGTTGTAACTGTATGAAGTCAATATATGCCCTAGTTGCAACCTCACCCTACCAGTCCTTTATCCTCTCTGTGAATATTGTACTGCATGTGTCTTCTATTCCACTCTCACTGCAGCATGTATGTGCTTGGTGCAAGCTTTATGTTAGTGTATTAATAAAACCTTTACAGATCCAAATAAATATCTCATTAGTGGTTGGAATCTTTAGATCTTTTCCTGCTGCAGCTCTGTCTCTCTTCAATGCTAATCAGCCACAGACATGCTCCAGTTCAGAGTTTTTCTTCTCTTTTCCTTTGTTCTCCTCAAGCATGTTGTTATGGGTAGTAATATAGTACCAGCCTGGAATTCAAGAAAATCCTTAGCAAGATGCCAGTTGGCATATGGCACCTCTAGCAGGTGATATGCTTGTTGAAGCCACTTAATACAAATTCCTAGCTGGCGAAGTATTAAGGGATTTTCAGGAAGCAGCATTGCATTGTAAGCAGGAGTCCTTCTATGCAGAGTGGTGATAGTGATAGCTCTTCTTTTCTCAGGGCTCCAGAGAATCATCGTTTTGCCTGGGAAGGAGAGATGGAGGACAGTGTCTACAGCAAGGTGACATGGAGTCCACTGGCACATCGAACTTACCATCTCAATTTTGCTCTGCAACAACTTCAGGAGCTTAAACTTCAGTCACAACAGCTGTTGGAGCAAAGCCAGGCCCGGCACCAGGTAATGAAGAAAAAAATCCTGACTGGGATGTAGCAGTGCTGACTTAGATGTGCACAGCCGCAGCCTTAGATGTGCAGAATCAACCCAGAGCCAGTACATATGGCTCAGCTTTTGTGAAGAAGTAGCTCTTAGAGTGGGTTGCAATAAAGCTGGTATTATCTGCGCTGATTTTGATAATGTTTTTATGCTTTAATTCCCAATGGCTTCTTGCACTGCACTGGCATTCGCCTTCATTTGGCTACTGACATGCTGCTTACTTTAATGCACCAGTTTGGGGCATCCTCTTATAGTCCCTCAGTTTTAGAACTGTCTACAGTCTCCATAGTTCTTTGTCACTTAATCTCATCACTGATGATGTGTTCCTGCTTTGACCCGAGTTCTTTTTGGGAAGTGCTTAAGACTGGGTCACTGTTGTATTTCCGTGTTTCTAAATATAAGGACTTGAAATTGTGTTGACAACTGTGTCCTGTGTCAAACAGACCCCATCAAGGCTTCATCTTGGTTAAATTCTCCTCCTCCTTAGTGTCTTCTCATATGATTTGATTCAGTTATCAAAAGAGCAGTTATCGAAGAGGAGTATACTAAGGGGACTCAAAAATTATTTAGAAGAATCTTCATTTATTTAAGAATTGTATTAATTTCTTTTAAGAACCTTCACTGTGCAGAAGACAGCCACTGATCCTCATGCCAGATGTAGGTTTTCTCTGCAACCCTGAAACTCTTCTTCAGGCCTCCTACACGTTTTGTTGTTACTACATTTAACATCTCCTTTCACTTCTTTGCATGGAACTGTCTGAAGGATATGTGACTCCTTTGTTATAATTGCAAGGATAAAAGATGGGCTAAATGTCTAAGAACTGGAGGAAATATGAAAAAGAGTTTGTATTATTCATGTTCTGAATGACACCTAGATTCAAAGAGTGGACCACTGTGTTTGGAACAGCATTCCTATCCTGTGCAGGGAAGTTTCCAAGGTTACAATGAGATCATTGATGCAATTGTTACCTTTCTTTGCTGTTACGGAGAGAGATGTGTGTTCTTTCTTCTGAGTGATGTCCAAAAAGCTTCCCTGCTAAAGGCAAGGAAGTCTTTGAGTGAACAAACCTTCACTCAAAAAAGATTGGTCTCCATTAGGAAGGAGCTATTTGCTGGGCAGTCTGGCAGACTGGACTCCAACAAAACCAGAACACAGCTAACATGTGGAGGTCTGAACACCCACTCTCCCTCCTGTGAAGAAAATGAGTCACTAGTCAGGGTCCTTGAGAATAGGTTATAGGCAGATTGCCCTCATACTTTTCTGGGAGCGTCTTGGAAGAGGCCCTTCTGCCTTTACTCTTTGCACTGCTTCTTTCAAGCCCTCACTTAGCCATGCAGTTTCCATCCCCAAATTCCCTCACCTACAGGCATCTTTCCCCCCCTCTGAGCAGAAGGTCTTCCTTTCATCTCTGTCCAGGGGGCTCTGGGTGGGCAGCTGTGGCTGCTCACGAGTTCAGGCTGTAAGCTAGCTTGTGCCTGTGAGGAGGCTGGAGCTGGCCACGGGGCCTGGCTGAGCCCTCTTCTGATTGCTGACATTGAGCTGATGTTATTCTTGGCCTGGGGCAGAGCCATTACTCAGGAGTTTCTGTTAAAATGATTCTTTGTTAAACCTCCTCTCACCCCCACAGCATCCCTCTTCTTTCTCTCCCTCCCTTCTGCTTCTGAGCCAAGCAGTTTGGAGTTGCAGTATTGAGGCCATTGCCGCAGGGCTCAGGCTGCACTGAAGTTGCCATTAATGAAGAAAGATATTTTCTGAACATGGGAAGTTTCAGACTTTCTGAAGTGAAAAACTTCTAAATAAAATGGTTGTCTCTTGGACACTTCTCTCAGACAGATCTCCCCTTCCAGTCACAGTTGCACTGATCCTCTGATGCCTCTCCCAGTCACTTCACCGCCCTCATCTTTATCTGTCTATTCCCTGCTCCCTCTAGTTTTCTGTCATTGAGTTCTTCCTCCTGCTAGTTAGCTTCTCAGATGTCGGTTCTTTGACTTGGCCTTTCCCAAGAACTGTTTTTCTGTTGCTGCTGCTTACACACTTTCTGTCCTACATTTGTCTCCTTCCCACTAACTGCTTTGACTTCTGCCCCTCCTTTTCCTGCTGGCCATCATTTGTCCTTTTTTTTTTTTTTTAGCCAAAGCTAATGTAGTTTATTCTGGCCTGCATGGTTTTACTACATTTCCTAGTCAGTGTCACCTAAGCCACCTATCTCCTGTTGGCTGCTTTTTCCCTTCTGTTCCTTGCCATGTATTGAGATCTACTCCATCCTTTGTTGTCTTGCTTGCTATATTGAAGTTCCTCAGCCTGCTCTCAACGGAAGAAACCTATCCCCCAAAACAGAAAGCCTATCACTTGAAAGAGTGTCATTATCTCTCTACTTTGGGGAATGCATGCAGGGTATCTCCAAGCCTCTTCCATGTGACTTTTCAAGTTCTTGTTATGGTTGGAAGGCAGGCTAGCTATTTGTCAGTAGCTGAAGTGCATTTATTAATATATCTGAAGACACACCTCAAATATGACGTGACCATACAACATGACTACATGCCAGTCTTCTATCTGTAACAAATGTATGAGTCATATGCATATGCATAGCATGTGAACAAATTACAGAAGCACCATGATTAATAACATAGGCAAATGCTTCTGTCTGTACATTAACCAGTTCAATATGTTGCAGAGTAGCAAATACTGTGTAGGTGGAGGAAGAGGAATAACAACCAACAATTTTCATTCATTGTATGTGCAAGTTAGTTCATGCAGTGTAGTGTGGTGGAAATAGATCTCAGATGCCAGGATAGGTACTTTATTCCCTGGACAAAAGGAGAAATACCAAACTGCCTGGATGAGAACCTAACAGACAGATGGATGCAGTGATAAGGCTCAAGAACAGAGAAAATACAGAACCTGAGAAAAGAGACAAAAATAGAAAGGGGCAGAGTTTGAAAGTGGAGACAAGAAACTTCTGTTGATCTGCTATCAACAAAATAAAGGAACAAGAATTACAAAATCAAACCAAAAGACAAAAAACAGGCTCATAGCAGTATTTTAATGTTTAAAAGAGACTTCATGTGACACATTATGAGCTAGATGTTAGTATCAGTGCTGCAGTTGGCAAGGCAGCTAATATACCATCATTGTTTATTCTCTAATTGTTTCCTGTACTGGAAAGATGCCACTAGCTGTTAGGGAGGTCCCTCCTTCTCTGTGTGGCTATGTTCTGTCTGCTTAGCCTAACATGTACTGGGTTTAGAATTTTATGCAAAACATTTCACATGGGAAAAAAGCTAAATTAAAAGAAGGAAAGTACAGTCATATAGTGGAATGATCCCCATCAGTCCTGCTTATATCAAAAAAATGTTAAACCATACATACATGGTGTTAATGAGTTGTGTGGTCGGCTACAATCACATTTTCAATCAGAGGCTTAAGTAGATTTCATGCTAGAAAACATAGGGCTAAATTAATGTTAAATAATTCTCTCAAGCATTTAAAAATGGTCTGTTATCTGAAATATTCCTCATTTTATGAAGTTCAGCAAAATTGTGTTCTTTTAATGTATGTGACTCTTTTCTAAATTCCCTGCAGTTTATTTAGATCTGACTGGGAATGTTGAGTATTCAGGGTAATATTCCTAGTATTCCTAGAACTGTATTATTCCTGCCTGAAGACACAGGGCCTCTTTGAATGTAGCCTTAAGCATCATTAAACTGTTTTCTAAACTATTATATATTGGACTGCTGTCAGATCTGCAGTGTCTCTTTCCCTTCAGTCTCTTGTTCATTCTTGTTTTGCAGCTTTCTCCCTCAGATTGTTTTCCCACTAAATGTACTAACTGCCATTTTTCCTGTTTGAGTCTTGTGATACTGGTGAGTCAAAGTCTCAGTCTAAGTAAAGCAGAACAACTGTTCTGAAAGCAGTAGTCTGTGCTGATTTATACCAGGTGAAATTTTGTCACCAAGTTTCTGATCCTGTCACTATTATTAGAATTATGGTAATGCCCATGTGTTAAGTATCTTTCCAATACAATTATACGGTCCAGTCCTTGCCCTAGAGAGGTCCCAGCAGCAAGAGAGACAAAGGAGAAGGCACCATGTCAACTCATTATAGTCTATTTTAGTCTCATTTTAAAGAATTTACCGAGGAAGAGATGCTTCAGGACAGCCTGTGCATATCGTCAATTTTTTCCTCTTCTTTAAATTTCTTGATGACCCAAGATGTTCCTCTTACTGCAGTTTAGCACTATTGCAGTTAATAGTACATTTTGAGCCTGTTCTTTATTGCCGCTTTGTGAATTTTCAGCTCAACTGATTATTGCATCCAGACTAATGTAACTGAATGCATTAATGTGTGTTCAAAATAATCACTAAACAATTTGCATGACTCCCAAGGTCTTCCAAGCCTTTTAATTCTCTGTATTTTTGCAGTTTCATCTGAAATACAGTTGCTTTTCTAAAAGCTGTGGGGGTTGTTTTGTTTGGTTTGCTTTTTCTTTGCTTTTTTAAAAACTTAAATCCTCATAATTGTTTATTGCTTATAAACATTTCAGTTCCCAGTGCTTGTGATTTGGAACTAGCTGCACAGATCTTTATGCAATACACATGTGTGCATCTCTCTGTCAGTTCTCATACACTGGTGAGTCTCTCATTGTTTTCAGACTTGGTGATCCAATTTAAACTGAATGACTGAGATGGAAATCTCAAGGCTATGTTTCATATAAATTTTATGAAAATAACAAGCTAAGTATCTGGAAAGGGGATTCAACTACTGCTCCAATTAAGGCAAAGGCTGCAGCTTGAGGCCACTTCTAATTAGACAGCAGAAAATCAACACAAGAATGCCCCAAACCCATGAAAGGAGGCATAATCTGGGGCATGCTTTATATTAGATACTGTAAGATTCAGCCCCGAGACGGATTCACAGGAAATGAGCTTCATTACCTCCTCTGGTCACAGAATGAACATGTTTTTGCTTGCAACGTTTGTTCCATTACTGTGCTGGGGATGGGTGTTAGATACAGGGATGGTAAGTGCCAGGAACATTCTTTCTGGTTTTGAAGATCATTAATATATCAGCTGTTCTTCAAAGTACTACCCTGCTTTTAATCATGAGCAGCCCGAGCTTAGCTGCTGCTGGCTAATGGGGCAAATATGAGACTGGGAGTCAGGATCTTCTCTGAGTCTAAACCTATCTTTTCATATTGCTGTGGCTTAGGGGAAATCACTTTCTCTGTTAGTGCTAACATTAATCATGTTCAAGGCAGCATTAATGCTGTCCTGCCTCCCCAGAAAGTTGTGCAGGATAATTAGTTCACTAGTGCAGTGCATGATTTTTTTAACTAAAAAGCCTCATGGTGCTCTAATTATTTTTCAGATTTGTAGCCCTAAGAACTTGTTGGGAAAGCAAATGTCTCTTCAACATCAAGTTAGATCTGCCAGTCTGGGAACCGTGGTTCCAAATGCACTTGCAGCAGCAATAGATGTAGTGTCCTACCTGCTTCAGGACTGTCTCAGGGTTTGTTTAGGCTTCTGCTCTCCCTAGACCCTTCAGAATCCTGAGTGATGAGGTCTATCTCCTACTTTTTCAATATGCTGAAATATCTTCCCAGCCCTTTCTTTGTGTGGTCAGGCTCTGCTTTCTCTAGCTGCCCTCTTTATTTGCACAGTAGCTTCTCCTGGTTTCCTGTCCTGTCCCCATGGAGTTCACAGCAGGGCAGTATACTTTGTAGCTGAATCCAGAAGCTATGGTCTGTGTCAGCTTTCAGCCTCCTCATCCTTGCCTGGAAGGCAGCCAGAATCTCGGCACAGCATAGAGACAAAAGGCCTTTTTGGAAGTCCGTTGCCCCGAAGAAAAACATCCATGACCTTCCTTTAGGTAGGTCTCAGCCCAGCTTTTGCTGATCAGACTTTGTCAGAGCATCTATGCTTGCTTGTTTAGTCATGGACCTCCTTGCCATTGCATGGTAGCACAGGGAAGGGGTTAAGATTGTATGCTTTGTGGCCCCTTGGATCTTAGTGATTTTAATAACAAGAAAAAGAACTTACAGGAAATATCATAATGTCAAACAGAGCACAATGAAATGTCACCCCTGAAAAAGAAAGGGCTACAGTGACTTGAGGGTCTCTGTCCCAACCCCATGTGTCGGACTCTGAGATGCAAGAGACTAAGCCAAGTTCCATTTTGGTTTGTTTTGATGGGGGGAGGTGGGGCGTGACTGCTGTTTTCCAGATTTATGCACTCGTATGAGCTACTTACTCCAAATCTGAAAGCTCTGATCAAGGTAGAGCTCCAGGGAAGGGAGAGGTTAAGAAGGATTGGGTGCCCAAGGGCGTCTTGTCAGTGAGCTCTAGGTAGGAAACAGGCCTGTTTTGGCTTCTGCACTTCCTTTTCTCCCTAGAGCTCTGCCTGTCAGAAACGCCTTCCCACACACCGCTGCCCTGCCATTTGCCAGAGAATTGCGGGGGAGAGGGGCTTTTCCTGTCTGTGTGTTGAGACTCAGTCAGCCCTCAGACTGTGGTTTTCTCTGGAGCCTGGAGCCTACTCACTGTGGCTTTGTATATTTTTCACCAGAGAAGAAACTGAGGACAAATGCAGTAAAGGGCAAGGCTCCCAGGGTCATGCTGAGGTGACTGGTGAGCACTCAGCTGTTCCCCTCATCTCCCATCTCCCTTTATCTCCCATCACTGACCTCTAGCTGCCAGACTGCATGGTTGTGGTATTATTGCCTCTTTGCCTTGGGAATCTGACTGACTGGAGGAAAGACAAGGCAGAACTCCCAGCAGGTTGCTTCCTTCTGAAAAGAGTTGAGCAGTTTGCAGAACTCCTGTGGGAACCATTCTTCACTCACTGCTTTGCCAGTCCACTGCTCAGTTCTACAGTTTTTCAACATGTGGATTCTCTTGTTCCTGGTGATAAGTCTCCAAGATATTTACTCTCCCATCTGCTATAGGAACAGAAATATTTTCTGTTCCCTGGTATTACTGGGGATTTCCTTTGTGTCAGCTGCTGACCTAACATCCCTTTTTTGGAGAAGGTACCTAAGAGCCTTTCCGTTATTCCAAGTACTTACAGGGTTAAACTGAACAACTGTCACTGTAACATCTTCCCTATAACCTTCTTCTTTTCCTTCCTTGAACTGTGTCTCAATCCCACTTCCCACGCAAAGAATTATTTAGCAAGAGAAATGCAGAAAGTTCGTCAAAGCAAGAAAAGCTTTACTTCTTTGAGGATGGAGCCCACTACAAGTCTCAATTGAGGATAGGATCTCTTGGGTTTTTTTAATCCAGAATAGTATTCTGTGGCAACAGTGAGCTTGTCTGCTTTCCTAGAAGCTAGTCCCAGCTTCTAAGGGAATAAAATTCAGCTCTAAAACTTGCTTCACTGATTTGACCTCTTAACTCTTCTTTCTATGTATAGGACTGTCCTTGGAGCCCTGGGTTGTCTTCATAAAAATGTCACCCCCTCTGTCAGCTCTCAGCAATATTGAGAGAGGTAATCACCAATTTCACTCTGGTATTTTCCCTTTTTTTTTCTCTTTTTTTTTTATTACCAGACTCTCTTTGCCAACTACTCACAATTCAGCACCAGCCATATACCTATGCCAGCTGGCTCTGATGCCCACAAGACATCAAGTGCCACTTCTAGTATCCAGAAAATACCCAGTTTGCACAAAGTGATGCCATCCCAGAGTACGCCTTCTCAGCTGATTCCAAAGCCTCCAGCAAACCACAGGCAGGCAGTGGTCGGAAAGGCTGCAGCCCAGAGGATTTCCAGGTAAGTTTTATCTCTTCCCATTTGCAGCAGCAAGCTGGCACTGGTTCCCTCAAGAAGGAATATCAGAGAAGAACCTGTCTACATGTGGCTGACATAGATCTTTTGGGCTGAGCTGTTCAAGATAAATCTCAGAATAACCTGAGCTGTGTGCATTGAAATAGGTATGCACTATATTGCAGTTTCATGTTTCACAATGGTAAGGTAGGTAAGACTGTAATATCATACAAACATAAGGACATAGGAACTACCAGACTGAATCAGAGAAGTATCTGATCCAAGGTGGGATTCAGTTACCTAAATACATGTTGTTAGTGACATTTTAGATGCCCAGGACTATTCCACCTGACCTTCCAGGTACTGTTCCAGATGAGCACAAGTCTTCTGTAGATCTTGTGTTGTATCTGCCAGTCCCATGCAGATGTCTCACATAATCTGAGAGTACCAAATATGGTACTAGACATCTGTGTTTAGGCACTTGAGTCACTCCCTCCATGTTTAATCTTTGATGCAGGCTAGAATCTGATGGCTCAGAAGAGGCTGCAAAAATAAAACAACACACAAGGACTGACTTATGCCTTCAAGCACAAGTGTTGTATTTCATTTGAGGTGTTTATATTGTGCCTAATGTACTGACAGCTTTCCTCATTATCTGTAGAAGTTCTGCTTTTAACTTTTACTCAGCCTTTAGTTATATAGGGCTTGCCATTCTAAGGTAGATGGATTTGGCATATGTTATATTTAAAAAAACCCAACCCACTATGAAATGTTGCTTACTGATTGTAAGTTTCCTCCCTTTCCATTTCTTGGTGCGTCTTCTCTTTTGTGCATTATGAGAGAATGTGAACAAGACTTCTGTGTTTTGTTCTTATCTGTTACTTTTCTTGGTAGCTTCATCATCAACAATTACCTCCTCTTAAATGACAGAACTGCTTTAGACTAAATCCTTTATCAGGTCTTTCCTCATATATCCTCAGACTTGTTTCATCCCTGAATACTGAAGAGTAAAAACTGCATTCATAACTTCCTTCCTTGTACTTCATCTACAGCCAGAAGAGTTATAAAGCTTTCAGAGCAGGTTCTTGTGAGATTTCCTGATTCTGTGCTCCCTTCCTGTCTAAAAAGAGAAGTTTTCATAAAAGATTGCTGATAAAAGACACTTTATGAAGATGCTAGGGCACTGTCAGCATGTGTGGATCAAATCTGGAACTGCAAGTGTATTTAAGGAGCTTGGACAGAACTACATTGGGGAAGCTTGTGTGTTTCCTGCCTGTACTCTTGCTATCTTAAGAGATAGCACACTGGATTAACCCCAAAAAAACTATTTAAAAAGAAAAGAAGATGTTAGTAGACTTTGTCAACTCAGCAAATGCAGGTGTGAGCATCAGGTCTGGCCAGGTATATGCTGGTGGGTTTGCTATCTGATCTCTTTTATGTTGGGCAGCTCATGTTAGTAAAGGTGACAGGCTGTGTCAGTGCGTTTCTCTGCCGGGCAGCAGAGATGTGTATTTGAAGATGCCGGTGTGCTGTGCTCACTTCTTGGCAGAGGAAATGTTTATCCTTGTGAGATGGAATTGCAGCTCCTTGGACAGACTTTACTTTGCTGCATTTTTGTGGTTTCTGCTCTGTGACAGGCAGGAGTGTGGGAAAACCGGAAAAAGTTCAGCACCAAAAATGCACAGAAGGGGGAAAAAAAGCAAAAGATTCCTTTAGAATTTCAGAAAACTAATCCAAGTATTGAAGGCTGCAAGGAGCCACTCCGGAAATACTTTCCAAGTTGCCTTTCAGTCTCCAGCACAAGACTCCAAACCCATTCTTGCCATTCATGGGATCTTACAGTAACATTTTTTCACTTACATAGAAAACAGCAGTGCCCAGCTATATTTCCAGCATACTGAGAGCTGATCATATCGTTTAAAAACTGCTATGTCTCAGCCTAATTTAATCCATTCATTGTTGTCAGGAAAAGACCAGAGACGCATTGACAAAGGAGAGTGAATGGAGAGAAGCCTCTGTGTCAAAGGAATACAGATTTAAGAAAAAGATGTCTTGCATGTGCCAGCCTGTTCTTTACAGTTCCTTGTTATTCTGTCTGAAGTATTCTCAGGCATTGTGTGTAGCCTCCTGTCAAAAACCTCCAGTGGCACAAACCACACCATGTACTATGGAAGACTATTTAAGAATCCAGACAGCTGCCTTATCAGAAAGTCTATCCTGATGTGTGATCTGTTTTTTTTCTTTGTTTCATCCTGTTGTACCTTGTTCCTCCTTTCTGAACCACCCTAAACACTTTCCATTGCAAATACTTTCTGTCTTTTTAATATCCTTCTAGTTCTTGGAATATCTTAACATTACTTAGATTTATTGAGGTTTTGTTAACCTCAGATAGTAGTTCCACCTGCTAAGTCCTTAATTGTCTTGAATTTACTATATTTTATTCAGTTTGCCAGGGTTCTTGCATTGTGGCACCCGGAATTGTCCTTTTCAGTGTGAGACTACTATATCCTTATGTTATGACAATGGCAAATATCCCTCTCCATAACATCTAATTTTGGCTGTTTGGCTGCTTCATTTCTCTGTCAGGTCATTTTTGATTTGCTGCCCACTCTCACCCCCTAATACTTGTTGGCTGTTTTCCTGATCTCTTTCCTCAAAGAAGATCTCAGTACTATATATTATTTCCACAAGACTCACTGAAACTAATCCCATTCTGTTGTTAAAGCTTTTGTGCCTCTCTTCCCTCTTCCCATCCCCTCCTTCCCCCCCCGCCCCCAACTTTATTTCAGTAAGCCAGACCTTATTTCTCTGTCTGCTGTTGTACTGCCTGGCTTTTATTTAACATCTTAATAAAGATCATCTTTTTAAAGTTGTTTGTAGAACTTCTCCAGAGACTGGACTGTGAAAACAAGCTAAGATCAAGTTTGTCTCTTTGACCTATCCCTTTCTTGCATGTGTTGTCACCTCTCCCCTAGCTAGCACACGTGGCTTCCAGAGGAGGAAGAAAAGAATAAGTAGAAAACTCAACTACAAACAGAAATGGGATGCTGAAGATGAGCATTACTGACTAATTCAAAAACTATCTACTAACTTGGACTTTCCCCTGGTTAAAACATAAAGCAAAAAGTAATGGAACAGCCAGACAATTCAGTCTTGTCTTTCCAGTTCCTGGCCTCTCTTGTTTTCTCAGTCTCTCAACTTGTAAAAGGTAGTAGGTTGACTTTATAATGGATTGTGTCCAAAGCAGGCTCCTTGCTTCAGCTAATAGAGTGGAAAACTGAGGCCTGTGTTAAGGTGTGGAAAAAGACAAACTGGGAGAAATGGTTTAATAGTTTGCTCTACATTGAAATGTAGCCCCACAAAATGGTCTCATGGGGCTCCATAGTTTTGATTAAATGTGCTCATATCACAAGCAGAAAGAAAGTTTTTTGAACAGCTAACACAACAAGCTCTTCTTTCTTTCCAAGAGTCAGAGTAGGTTCTTTCAACTGCTCATATTGTCACTACTATTGGCAGGTCTGTGAACCATGATGAGACCTGCTGAGAGCAACATTTTGGGACAGAGATCACAGATACATTATTCGTAAACTGTGGAATGAAGCAGATGTCCCTGGAAGTAGCATTTGCTGTACTGAAACTTCACGTTACAGATGACAGCATGCAAAGTAGAAAAATACATTAGCTCAACTGGGTCAGAACCCAGAGTGAACTGGTACAGGTGGGAGACAGAAAATCTCTCTGCTTTTAGGAATGACTAAGTCGTAATAAATACACATTTCTGTGCTATCATTCCTAAAGTAACTTTTAAGAAACTACAGCAGCATCAAGGAGAGCAAAGTTGAACAGCCTGTGAACAGAATTAACAGTCAAAGGAAAGATGTCAGGAAAATTCAGCTATCAACATTAGACCACTGCATATAAAGAGGAGAAATGCTAGGTATCAAAAATCACCATAGTTCAAGATGTTATGAGGGAGACAGAGAGCCTAAGATCACAGATTTTGCCAGCAATAGACTGGAATGTCACAAACTACTGGGGATGTTGATCAACATGGCATAAGCTCATGTACTGAACTCCTCTGTAAATGTCATTCCCAATGACTCTATTGAGGAAGCCTTTCAAAAGAAACATTTTCTTCAAGTCCCAACATCACAGCACAAAATCTTTCTACCTTGTCCTTCCTTTGTGTATTTTGTTTGCATGGTGGCATCAGCAGAAGAGCAGAAGTTCTGCTCTATTGTAACTAGTACAGAAATAGGGTAGAGGTGATGCATTTCTCCAGGGTTCAGGAAATCAGTCCCATGGCAGGGTGGAGTCCCGACTGCAATTGGATGCGGCAATATCCAGCTGTTCTAGGACAGGCTGTCTAAGCCTGGCAATTGTGCCAAAAGTAGAATGATGGCCATAGAGTGAGCGCTATAAAATACTGTGGTTCTGCTTTGTATCCCATCTTGCCTATGTGTACTTATTCATGGGCATGCATGAAGTGTCTTAAGTGAGCCGGGTACATCACACTTATAAAATGAGTGCCCACTGAAAAGAGAATAGGCATCAAGAGAGCAAGCATGTAGCTGTTACTGGAACCCCTTTCACTTTTTTGCTACAGCTCTACTGTGACACAATTGGTTTTTTTAGCTCCTGAGCATCTGGGTTAATCAGGCTGCCTGCCCCTTAGACTTTTTTGGCAGCGAAAGCAGTGCATCTGAGAGACATGCCTTGATTTAACACCCTGACACAGCTGGGCTCACTGGGCCTGTAGCTCTTAGCCCTTGGCTAGCCTCAGATCATACACACAGATACATGTGCACACATATCCTGTCCAAGAGCAACAAAGAGGAACAAGCCTCCCTGGCTCTGGGTGTTCACATCTGTTGCTGTCCTCTTGTCAAACCTGGGGGTTTTGTGATGTGAATTTGTTAGTGTCAGTTCTGTCCCCCGCTGAACCATTAGATGTGTTGGTAGCATCCTATAGCAATAGGTTGTTAAAACAAAGGTGTTCAAACTTTAGTTAGGAAAGTATTTCTTTGTCACCTGTGGAACAAGAGCATCCTCCAAATTTATAGTAGGCTGGGCAGCTTAAGGCTGGTTTAGTGCATGAATTAAGGAAGTCAGTATCAGTTTCAAGGAGGGGATAACTGTATAGAGAGAAAAGGACAAAATGACATATTTAAGTGGAGGGGACAGTGGGGGCTGTTTTTGTTGGTATTGAAGAAGAAATGGAGAACATAACAATGGATTGCATTAGAGAAGTGGAAGCAAAAATAGCACAGACATTACAAGCAGGAAACTGAGAAAAGCAGTAGGGTTTCAGCCAATCCAAGGAGGAAGAAAGTGGAAAGGGATTAACTCAGTTTAAGCAGTGAGTATGTTCTGGCACTGGAGCTTCCATCTGGACAGCAGAGATGGAAGAGAGGTAATCTTAGTGTGGTGGGAGATCAGTGACTGGAAACCAGATCTGAGAATGAGCTGTGTGGAGGTGCAGGTTGAAACTGCAAGAATCAAGGTGCAGTCTGTGTAGGCAGGAGAAAACAAAGGCAAGTCCATAGAAAGATTATTTTCTAAACATAAATTATGCTTCCAAAGTAGAAGTGTGACTGTTCCCTGTTTGGTTTTTTTTGTTGTTGTTGTTGTACTTGCTGGCATTCTTGATGACATCTTCAACCACTAGTCTTATATTCTGCCTACAAAAGGGTGGGCTTAATTTGACAGTTGTGTTAACAAAGTGGACAAGCTAATTATGAGCATAGAATATCCATGTATGAAGCATTAAGATCCATCTGGATTCTCAGTTCCCAGAAGGACCATGTGGTGTCAGCAGCAAAAGAAACCATAAGTACAGATCAAAAATTCTCCCTGAGAGACAACAAATATAGAAACAGGCACCTCATTTGACAACAGCATTTCATCTTATGACTGACTGAAGTAAGGAGTTTTGTTTTGCAAATGTTGTATCTGCATCCCCCTTCCTTCCGGTATGGACTCCAATTTATTTCATTAAAATCCAACTGACATATAAAATACAGGAGTCCTTCACTGGCCTTTTAGCTGCCAGGAGCACCTGGATTGCTGGCAGCTTGCTGACTTTGAAATCTGAAAGCAAAAGGTTTCAGACAAAGCTATAGAAACTGCACGTGTGCCTGGGTCTGTTAGTCATCAGGGCATCCCGTGGGGGTTGGAGAGTACAGTGCTCTTCTGGAGAAAAGCTCACAGTAACTGTAATGCTGTAGAGCTGCATGAGTGAAGAAGGACTCTGGCAGAGAGGCAGAAGTGTGCACACAGAAGTCTGGATTGATCACTGTAGAGTTGGGCAGGGAGGAAGAAAGGCAGGAGGGATGTGGAGGAGAGAACAAACCGGAATAGATGGATCAATTATCTAGATTTTAAGGACATAACAGGTCATTGTAGTTATATAACTTGGCCTTTCCTTGAACCATTTTCTGTGTAGGAGGGCATGGTCTCAGTTTGGTAATGAATCTTTATAAGAGTTAAAAGAAGTGCAGTTGTACTCCACAGAATATAGTTTTACTGTAACTCAAACGCTGAGATTTTGCATAAAGCATCTGCTTGAGGACTGGCACTAGACTACTGGAGACTAAATGCAATGTCTCAGTTTCCAAGACAAGTGAGAAATCTTTCCTAAATGAGCTGTCTCTGCTGAGAGAAGATGCAAAGACTTTTGAATGTGGCGTATTTTGCCAGCATGTGCATTTTTGTTCTAAGATTGCTTAATCATTTTACTTCATATCACTGGAATAAGGTAACCACAGCATTACTAGCAGAGTTGTACTTCGGTGGTCCAGTGCCATTTATTATCTCTTTTATCCTCCAGAATCAGCTTCCAAGGCATGTGGGATAATTAAGTGTTTTAAACTCATGGCTTGAGTGTTCATCTGTCTTGCTCTGCCGTTCTGGAGTCAGTTGCTGTCACCGCCATTTTCATACCATGTTGAGGCACAGCTTTGTAGCTACAATCCCAGTAAGGTTATGCAAATTGGGAGAATTCTCTCTTCTTTTTTTTTGGTTGAGACTTTCATTCTTCCTTGGTATGTCCCTTATTATCTCTAATTCGATGCTTTTATCTGTTAGGGTGTCTTCCATTGAAAGGCAGCTGAACCGATTCCAGAACAGTGATGCATCCTGTGAGCCAGGGACAAATTCCACAGGTGAGTTCCAGTGCCAAAGACCAATAAAGTAGGGGTGGGTATGCTGGGATGCTTTCAACTTTCTCAAGAACTGGCAGGGAAAAAACTTTCTCAGCAAGAAGAAGAAACACAGCTGCCTACCCTGCATGTAGTGGTTCCTAGGTAACAGCCTGGGTTCAACTGTGCAGGGAATTTATTCCCCTGGGATTAAAAAGACTAAATAGAAGGGAGCGAAGGCTGAGTTTCATAGAGTTGGAAGAGTAAGATCCCTAAAAATGTGGCTGGGAAAAAATACTTGGCTAACATGGCTCTGCTTTGCTTTAGGCTTTGGCTCAAGATGCTCTGTTGTTTAAGCCTGGCCTGTAATAAAGGGCCAGGACATTCTTTACATTTTCCTTCTGTCTTGCAGAAAAGCCCCTCATTTCACAAAGACATAGTTGACACTTGTGAATCAGCTGCATAGTGAAGTCAATCAGTAGAGGTGAAAGTTTCCAAAGGAAAACCACTGAGACTTACAGAACCAAATCTTCATCATTCCATAGTAGCTAATTAATTCAAACAGGTTTATCTGCTGTAAATGAGTACCTAATCCATTTTTCATTGATGCAGACCTATTTGCAGGTAAAGTGTAGTCTTGAGGAACCTGCATTACCCATGGCCCACAGTAATTTATGATAGTGCTGCAATAGAATATATGGACAAATTATGGCCTAGAATGCTTTAAAAAATGTTTCTTACTTTCTGTTTTGCTGTGAAAACCCTGAAAACGTGATTTGAGCATTACTAAAATGCAGTGATCTCTGTGTTTTCACAGGCTGAAAGAAGAGTTTGCATAGGAGTAAACTACCCAATTTCTCTCTTGAATGTTTAGCTCTGAAACTTAGAGATGACATTTCCATTATTAATGTCAGTGATTTTATTGCTGATCCTCTAGCACAAACATTCAGTTAATGCACTTATCATACAGATCCAAACTGCCTCCCACACTTTACCAGCTGCCAAGAGCTCCAGTTATCCTACCAAAAACTGTAGAGGGTGAATGGCCATAGTCAGTAAAAGACCCTACAGCACATAGGAACATGACGGTATAGGAATGGAATATAATGGGATTATAAAAATAAATAAAATCATCAACAGTGTAGTGTATGTATAGTTGACACAAAAGTTCTGGTCTCATGTGTAGACTAAAATCAAGCTGAGATTTTAGTACAGTAAATGAAGCAAGTTTACACATAAATTTAGAAGTAAATGTAAAAATGGAGTTCTGAATATATTGACAAAACCGGTTTGCTGAGTAGACTTACATGAAAGCGATTGTGCTCTGAATTCTGTCTCTTTTTCAGTTTTAAGACCACTTTCACAGTTGCCCCTGTAATTTTAACCTCAGTGAGAGTCTCTCCATCTCCTCTGGGTGTTATTGTAATGTATCTCTGTGATATATGTAGGTAGCATTTTTCTATCCTTCCCTGTTTCTGTGAATATTTATGCACAGCATGCATGTAGATTGTTCATAACATTAATGACAAAAACAACAGCCAGAGCAGCAGGAAGAATATAGGCTAGATAACCCTAGTTCAGTGTAGTCATCCTCTCTGGGAATACTTGTAATCCAGTGAGAACTCAGAATATCCGCTCATGTTTCCTTGTGTAGGACTAGGCTAGCGGCGCTGTACTGAAATTGCACTCTGAAGCTGAAACAAAGGATGTGAGGATGTAGAAACCTAGTTTGGCTAGGAACAGGCTAGCAGAACCATGGTGGGTGGGTCACTCAAAGCTTCCTTGTTGCTAGAAGAGGTATATCGCTCCCAGAACAGTGCTAAATATTGCAGTGATTTAACTAACTTGAGGAAAACGTTTGTTCTTGGAAACTGGGGAATGATACTTTCTTCAGCTTTGCACCAAGCCACTGGTATGCGTCAGAGGCTGCTGTGCCCACTCTGTGCGTCTCAGAAACTACTCTGGTCCTTCCTGTAGGAACAGCTGTTTTTCTTCTTCACTCTCTCCATTGATTACTTATACTAGGGCCCTGATTCCCCTCATCAGCAACTTATTTGGGGTTGCTGTTTGACATGTAGTTAGCATTTTAGATACCAACTAGAGGGGCTGGAGACACAAGTCAGCAAGCAGATTACAGAATAAACTGTAAACATTTAAAGATAGAAGGCTGTGAAAAGATGCAGAGGTAAAAGAGGAACCAGGAAGAACCTTTGTATAAACACACATATGAAAGTTAAAAAATGTCAGGAGCTTGAATAGGACTCTAGCAACCTATTTGAGGATAGCCATTGAACTCTGCAGAGAAACCACATAGAGGTGTCACGAATGATCTAACCAAAAGTAAGGATGATAATCAAAGGAAGAGTCAGCCAGTATGCAGACTTTTAACCAGATTGTCCAGAAAACAGTTCACTGGTGGTTAGTACTACAGCTGTAAAAGAGCACCAGTTGTAGATAGTGTTGTACACTGGGCTGAAGCTCTTAAGGACAAATCTCTTTGAGATGAAGTAAAAGGGAGAATAAAAATCAGCATACCTGCAAAGCAGCTCAGGATTCTGAAACAAGCCATGACTACAATGAAAGTGTGACTGTCTCTTATCCTGATGACCTCATCCTCATTTCATGGAGAGGCAGAAGTTGTGTGTGAGCTGCGTGCCACTGGTATAATGAGAAAGAAGGCAGAGATTCTCATGAGTATCTATAGACATAAATCTGACAGCTATCATCTGGGGTTATTTGCAGTGTCTAAACAGTCAGATTCCTATCAAAGTTCCTGAAAGTTTAACAGGGTTTATTCTATTAAAGAAATACTGAGAATATCTACCTCTAGGAAACATTCTGACTTGATTTTTCGCTGAAATTCAACACCTAGCTACTAGTGGGGTTGTCAGTCATTCTGAACATACAACCATTATCACATTGCTTTTTTTATTCTGTGTTACTTTGAGGGTCCTTCCACATTACACTGATTGTTTCCTGCTTCACAGAAGTTAGCAGTTCAATTAGTGTTAGTGAAATAGGGTGACTGTGAACTAAGAAATCAATTCGCTTTTCCAAGTCTGCTTCAGAATATAGCTTGCTAAATATCTTGCTAAGCTAAGTATCATGGTGGATTATCCAGTTCCAGGTTGTCTTTATGAGGCTGTGTTTGATATGGTGAATTCAGATGATGAAGGAAGGAACCTACAGGCTGGTCATTTTTGTGCTGTATATATTAATAGCGTAAGGTGTATGGAGACATTTTGCCATATTTGTTCCTCTCTAGTGGCATTAGGTGAATAGTGCCTGAATCCTTTTTCTCAAGGAAGTGAAGTTCTAGATTAAAAAGCATTACATGTTTTTAGCTTTTGAACAACAGGCAAGAAACATCAAGGATGCTACGTACCTACATGGGAGACCTCATAGTTAAAATTTGTTGTGTTTATTATTCTTCCTTTTTGAATACGTAAAGATAAAGCAGCAGATTTTAGGGAAAGTAGAGGATGGAGGGAACTTTATGAAAATACAACAGCATAGTCCCAGGCAGATTCTCTGTTCCTGAGCTGGACTCTTGTCTGCAGGAGCCTGGAGAGAGGAACAATCTGAAAATATAGTTAACCCCTCAGTGCAGTTGTGGAGTGGATTCACAAGATAACAACCCCAGCTGATTTTATTTGGTTTGGTTTGTAAAGGTAACAGCAGCCCCGAGTGAAATATGTCTTCTGTCTTCATGCTTTTTTCTTTTATTTGCTGCCAACTTCTAGAGAGTTTGTGAAATTTTTATTTTAAAGGCTTCAGAAGACAGTATGACTCTGGGATTCTGTTTTGCTATTGCAAAAATATAATGTGCTAATAACCTGTATAATTACAAACAAATAGGAATCATGATTAAAACTGGGCAAGACTAATGCCTGGCTCCAGACTTGACAGAACTTCACCTTTTCATACTCAGACTGAACAGTGATGTAGTTTTATTGTGCTAATGTTTACATTACTAATGTCCATATGGCTTTTCTGCTAAATGTGCTGAGAGAAGAAAATAGCATTAGAGTTACTGATTAAGGGAAGTAAAAGTTAGTAATATGCTGTCTGAGTTTGACAGCAGCGAAAACCAATAATTCATTCAAAGTCTTGGATCTCTACCTACTCTTATTTAAAGCATAACTAATTTATTTGTATTCTAGTTCTCTTAAGAATACTTCATACAGAAGGTAAATGTCAAAACTTAGCCTGAAGCTAGAGAGGAAACTTCTTGAGCTAGGTGGAATAGACTTAATTTTATTCCCTGTGATTCCCAGGTCTGTATCTCAGCTTAGTTTCAGAATGATGCACAGTTGTCTGTTTATTCTGACATTCACCTGGCCCCAGTATCTGCATGAATGCCATGTCCTGAAGTTATGCAACTCTTTGTAATAGTGTGTCATCATCTGTAAGGGCTTAAAACTAGGTCCTGAACTGCAAAGAGACCAGCTAAAGAATATGGGGATTAATAAGCTGGTTTGGATCTGATCCACATAGAAAGCAGGCTGCTGTTCTTAGTTTTCTAGTGATTTCCTTCTTTAGGCTAAGGTGGAGAGCATTGTCTGAATGCCATCCAAATAAGATGAATGTGCAAGCAGTGTGATCTGGTATAGTGCAATGAATGGAGTCTGCTTGCAAACTAGTGGTAGTAAGGAACACTTTTGCACTTGTTCTTCTCTGCATGTAGCACACTCCAGGGTTGGTTTTTGTGGCGGTGTTTTTTTTTTTTTTTTCATTTTACAGAAAATCTACAGGTAGGCTGTGTATTTCTAAAGGTTTTATATCCAAGGTTGTTGTATGGTCCTTCCTAAGAAGGTCAGGTATGTCTTGTTATCAGAGACCTGAAATAAGATTTAATATTGGAGGTGCTAATATGTGTCTGGCTGTTGTCTGCCCATTGCTTCAATTAATATTATCCCTGAAATGCAGCTGCTTTTAGATAAGCTTAAAGAAAGAACAGATTCTTTTAGTATATATGTGAAAGTACAAGCTTCAAATTTGTGCTGCACTAGCAAGACAAAAAACAAAACAACAAAACAAAAGACAAGTAAACACAACAGGCATTCAAGCAAGACACATGCAATCAGTTTGTATTGTTTGCCAGAGCTAAACAAAGAAAATGCCTGGGATTTGGGGATTCTTTTATAAGCCGGTGTCTCTCAATTCTCTTGGAGTGTAAAGGGAGTGGGTGGGATGGGATAAGTACTGTTGCCACTGTACATGGCCTGTGTCAGACTCCCAGCCATTTGCTACAGTAGTGTGGAATTCCCAGCTGCCCAGCCTTGTCCAGGCTCCCTGAGCTTCTGCCAGGCTCCCCTGCAGCCTCAGAAGGCAGTAGGTTGTTGAACACCAATGTATTTATTTTTATGTTGTTACCACATTCCCAAGAGGAACCTTGGCTATGATTTCAGCTGGTCTTACCACACTATCCAAATCCTTCATCAGGAGCAGCTGGGGAAAGAAATCACTCAGGTTTTTGCACAGCACATTGCTGGTATGCCTCCTCCCTCCCACTAATCCTTTTAATTCCAATCTTCATTTGCCATCCTCCTGGTTTTCTGTTGTTGCTGTGACTGACTGCACAAGTGGTCTTGACTTTGAAAGGTGACCTTCAAATGGTGACCTTCAAATGAGTAACCTCTACCTCAGACTACTTTGGCTACTCAGGCGCAAGATACCTTATGACACAAAAGAACAACTTTTGATGTCATCTGATTGCTTATCCTTTTCCAGGAGTGGAATAACGATAACATCTTCCACATGAATCCTTCTAGAACCCCCTGTCTGGCTGAGAAGCTCTGGATGGGTCACCAAAAGGGAACAGCTGTGTGATATCCAGCACCTTGAATCAAACTTTTCCAGTGCAGCTTCTCACACTGCAATATTGTCAACAGCAGCAATGACATTCTGTCAGCATCTTTCTCTGTAGTACTGTTTCCATGCAGAGAAAGTGTTAATGAGAAACAGAATCTGTCCACTTTATTGTATTTTGGAAAGCAGTGAAACTTGAGGTGAATCCTACTACTGTGCCTCCCTATTTGAGAGCGCAAGGAATCCATTACAGTAGAGGATATTTGGTTTCACGTTTGTTCTTAGAATTATCCTACTAAAGCCATTGTTCTTTCATGCATCATGAAAACATCCTGAATCTTCTCTCCCCTGCTGACTTCCACAGCTTCACAAAGAGGGCAAACAGGAAGTGGGGAGGGAAAGATAATTTCTTTCCTTGCTATATTTGTTGCTTCTGTCCCACATCAGATAATGACAGACAAGCTGTAGTACCAGATGGGCCAGAAGGGAAATGAGAAGGGTAAAGAAAGACCTCTCTTTACCCCCATTCTTGGTACTCTTTGAAGGAGCAAGGAATCATTATCCATTATGTTATGTAAACCATTATGTTTGCAATGAGTAAACATTGGTCTCTAACCAGTACCTTTAAAATAGATATAAATCATCAACAGGACATAACTGTTCAAGTTTATCCAGTTATCAGAAAGCTATGGGTAAGTCTCATTAAATCCCAGCAGAGTGTAAAACTCTGCCAGAAGCAGCATTCCAGGACCTTCTCAGATGATGTTAAGAAGATGATATCCAATTCAGCTTTCACCTCTCAGCTAGAGCTGAGGGTCAGTGTTCATCTGTAATGATCAGAAATGACATTTATTCCTTAACTTGTGAGAGCAGCCTACCTCTCACACTTTTAGTCAACCTTTTGCTTTTCTTTTATGAAAGGAATGAACTTTTTCCTGTTGATACTGGTTTTGTGCCACTGAAAGGATATTCTGAGTCTCAGGACCACTGGGAAAGCAGGAGAAAGAGAAAAGGACAGTCTCCAGAAACTGGCTTCCCTTGTTGAAGAGCTAGAACCCAGCTTGAACTTTAGGAGCCTTCACTTCTGACAGGCTCAAAGAAAACTCTGAAGCAGGATAAGTAATGACTTCAGGCAGTTGGCATTTTTGCTTGCCTGGAGGCTGAGCATTGCTTGTTCTCAGTAGTTAGGTGATGGCGAACTGCCTGTATTTCCTTGCTGTGTTGGAAATACCATTTCAGATCAGGTGTGCAAAGACTAGAGAGAGGTTATATAATATCTTGGCTACTTCTGTCTCACATCTGGCCCTTTGGCATTAAGCTACTGATAGGCAGGATAACTTTGCCCATCCAAATCGGATTTTGTTTTAATCTGGCATTATTTTATTGATGCTAAAAATAGACGCCAAAATGTGTATGAATAGGGTAAAAGGAGTGTCTGAAGTTATGAAATGAAATGCAGGGAAGAGCCAGAGAAGAGAGAGCCAGAGCAAAACAGGGAATAGGGAGCTGAATAAGGGAAATCAGAATGAAGGTTGTCAAGTACAGAAGGGCTGGGGTGAGGAGCCCACCCAGTGTCTTGTCTGTAACATGGGGAGCAGAAAGGCTCATGCTGGCTTTAACCGCTATTCCTCCACTTGTTAATGAGGCTGCTTACTGCTCTTTTCATGCAGGGAGACTGCACTTGAATGCAGTTTTGTGTACTGTTTGTGCCACCCTCCATACTCCCAAGTAAATTTTTGTGACTTGGAACTGCTGCTTTCCCCTGCCACTTTTTCCCAGTCCAGCAAGCCAACTTGAAATTGTTCCCAAAAGATGGGGGAGGGAAGGCTGGCCTTGAGTTGTCAGCTGTCCTGGCTTGCTAGTGTCAGTCACCATGGATATAAATAAACGTCATCTATTTATTGCCTTTCTTAGTTGCACTATATGTTATCGAGAGAATGTTGGGCATCAGTCTAAGATTAGAAATTCCTTCTACTCTGGGATAAAAAATCTGAATTTCTAGGATTATCAGAGCTTTTGAGGGAGAAGGGAAGTTCCTGTTTTCAACACTAAATTCAGGAGTCTTTGACATGCTTCTCAGTTCCATCACACACTTGCTGTGGGTATGATGAAACAGCCCGAACTAGCTCTAAAAAAAGTGTTAGCATGGGTTCCTGACCTAGTACTGCTCTCATTCCTGCAGCTTGGAAGCAGGGTAGATTAGGTGCTGCTGTCTGACCAAGGCTGTGTATATCTGTGCTGGGAAAGTCTATATGGCGCTGAATTTTAGTGTGCAGGTATCCCGTAGAAGACTTTATGCAACTCCAGTGATTTCCCTGTGACTGGGAATCGTATCTGTAAAATGGAGGTTATAATTTTCTTCCCCCTATGTAACTGTTCTAAGTATGAAAGTGTTGAAGTTTTTGAGGTGCAGTCATGGATGACATAATAGTATGTAAACGTGGACAGATATACAGGCAGATACTTTAACATCTCCTGTCAGGCAGAGAATAAAGGAGATTCCTTCTGTTGTATGTGGTGGTTCACTACAATGCCTCATATCACAAGGGCAAATCAACCTTTAAAGCTGGCTGCTATAGGCAGTGAGGGTTTTTTCTGTCCCCTCTACTCAACCAGAACTTCAGCCTACTCAACCAGAAGGAGGTGGAATGCTCACCGGTAGTTTTGAAGTGACAAAACTTCATAGAATTATATACATGAATATTTATGAAATGATTGAATTGGCCATGAGTTGTACTCATGGTAGGAACCTACATATTTACGTGTAGACATAGGAATGCCCCTTTTTGTGTTGAGACATCAAAGTAGTCATACAAGAGGAACTCACACAAAGTGATTTTAATTCAGTTTGTGAGAAAAGACAAACACTGAACTGTGCATTTCTGTAGCAAAAGGAGGGCTCAAAAGTCTCTTCAAAACAGGAAGATGAGGTTGAAGTTGGCCTTCTTTCTCATGTGCCTTTGTTTCCTTAATTTTAGCATCTTGCCAAGGGATAGATTTCTGGACTAGTATATCCTATCTTAGTACAGATGCCTGACACTTTGGTTCCCAGTTCAGGTTCCAGACTTTCTGTGCAGTGACATAGCTGGCAATCATGCTTTCTAAACATCTTTCCAGATCCTCTGTGCTATGTGATGTTTGGCTCTATGCTGGGCTTTCAAGGAGAATGTATTTTTTTAAATATAGCAATACATTTAATAAACACCTCTCAACAAATGACACTGTCATTTAGAAGCAAGCTGATGTGCTAGATACACAAGACAAGCTTTACCTACTACATTAGCTGTAAAATGCAAACTGTCCAAAATAAACATGCCACATTTCAAAGTTGTTTAGATTTTTCTTTTTAAGGGACTGTCTAAGGTTTTTTAAGTAAAGAAGTGAAGATGACATTGACTTTTCCCCATAACCTGTTTAAGCAGGAAAATGTTGCAGTATGTAGAATTAAAATATCTATAATAATGGGAAGAAATTTTATTTTCCTTGCCCCCATTTTGTTTATTTTAAAGATCAGCCTTTTCACACCCCAATCTCTCCTGCACCAAGGTCCTAAGCATGTTTTGGAGTGGAAAAACAGATTCCCATGTAAGCAAAGAAGTAAAAGGCACAGAGACAAAGCCTACTGATAGAAGGATTTTCTGCCTACTGCAGAAGGATTTAGTGCTACAGGAAGAGCCTGTGAAGAGATGAGTCACATGAGTCAGAGGCAAAGAGTGAAGAAGGTATTCTAGGGCTTGAAAGGAATGCCAAGAGTACTTTTCACACAGTAGCTTATTCAGTTAGGTTTTATCATACTGATCTGTAATCTCATCTATTACCATAGAGGAAGGTTGTGTCATAGGGAGATACAGATTTCTGTTGATGGCTGAGATTTCCAGAGCAGTGCACAAAACAGCCCCCCAGGATTACTCAAAATCTTTGCTTTGTGTTTTTTTCCAGCCTCTGCTCGAAGAGGAGGATTAACACTGAACACCAGGTGAGGAATCCAGGGGGTTGGGGCAAAGGAAGAAGGGGCAGTGACTTCATACCACCACCCTTCCAAACACCCAGGAAAGAGTGAAGAGGAGGCCCTGGTGAGAGGACAACCCACAGAGGAGAGCATCTGAACATCTGTAGAAGACGATGATACATCTGCAAGCTGAGGTGAATGACTGCCTCTGAGAGCTTCCGCTGCCGAGTCGTGGGGTTCCCTTCCTCCCACTTCTTCCTGATGAGATGGAGATCCTCCAGCTGTCTGTATTGTTCTTCCTAAGATCCAAGTTTGAGCATAAAATCTCATTTGCTCAGCCATTTCCGTCTGTTCTAGTTTGGTAACAGCCAAGATTCTCTGTTGTCATCACATGGCAACAGCAGAGAAAAATATTAGAACATATGACTGGAGACATCCGTGTTGGTTGCCATCTTAAATTTTGGCACAGAGCCATAGAAATGATTGGTTTGAATCAAGTCATTTCATTTGTTTGTATTGGTTATAATTTTGGTTATTAATTCACACCCTCAAAATATTTGCTGTCATTATCTTAGACAGGATTTTAAATCTGTCTTTATGCTTCATTGGTGGATGCTTATGTTCTGTGTGGCTTATTTTTGTGGTTTGATTTCTGTTTGTTTAGGCTTTATAAACTTTTTTAATTGCCTGATGTTTTCAGACCCAAGATTGAACCCTAAGGCCCAGGTGGTTCCTATCACTTGCAGTAGTGGCTTGGTGAAGGACTCCAGTTAAAATTTGCTTGCATTAGAAAACATCAGCGGCTGGAAAATGTATTGGAGAGAAGTTCCACCCATCCTTAACACGAACAGGAAGCAGCTTCAGCTGTGGCTCTTTGCTGGTGCCAGGTTACAGGAAAAGTCAGTATTTTGCAGCTTCTGCCTTGTCAAACAGCAAGTGGTATGACTACTTTTCAAAGGGTGTAGAATCTCCTGTTGTTTGTATCAGGGCACTCAGATATGGGATTCTAACAGTTTGATCTGTTTTCTTACTCCACACCTTCCCTGTCATTTTTAGCCTGCATAGTCAGTGTACTTAGAGTGGGTTGGCAAGTAGATAATGTGGCTGACAGAAGAAACAGTGTTACAGGAGAAAAGTGTTTTCTCTTAAAATGATTGTGTTCATGTTCACTCCTGGATTGTGCATATTTTCTGTCATCCAAGACCAGATAAATTGTGAGAAGATTAAATAATTATGTTCATACTCCATTAGTTTCACTATTGCTTGCTCCAGGCATAAATTCATAGGGCAGAACATTTTTCTGTTTCTGCTCCAGTCATGCATATGACAGACATTGAATACTTCATTTGTCCAAAATACAGTTCTCTGATGTAGCTGCTCCCTTTCTTACTCCATTGGTTTATCTTTAATTTCCTAGACAATCACGTTCCTTTTCACTTTCTCTGTGTTTTTCAGCTGTGTCCTTCAAGAATCTCCACAGCATTTGTTTGCTGCCTGTGTGACCATCACATATCATCAGTGACCGACAGATCTGTAAAATCTTGTGAAGTTACTTTCAGATCATGTCCCTTCTGTCTGTAATCATTGAATTCCATTCATGGAATTCTCTGAGATAGGTGGTTCTACTTGTGCATCGAGTTGTTGGCTCATGATTAGTGAAAAGTTAGTTGCAGAAGTTGTTACTTCAGATTTCTGCACATCCTGAGCAGCTGTGGGTTTCAAGACCTTGGGTCTGACTTCTCACAGCCTACTGCTACATGTGGTATTTGTTACAGCATCCAGCTCTGTTCCAGAGCTGTCGATGGGGCCATTTCCCTCTAAGATTTAGCTTCAGTGAGTAACAGATTCTATTCCTTTCTTCCTCCTAGGGGGATCTGGGTTATCCTTATTCTACTGGGTTTTATGTGCAGGATTAAGTAGCTGTAGAATATACATCCTTGTGGAACTCTCATCTCTGTTTTTGTTCTCTAGTTTCTTCATTCAGGTTGTCACAGCAACCACTAAAAACTAAAGAGAGATTTGGAGGATAGAGATTTAAATTCACAGCCCAGGAAAGGTGATTGTCTTCATAGGATAACTGTTAGAAACAGTATTCTTACATCTTTGTTTGGCAAATTACTGGTTAGTGCTGGCTTATTATGAACACAGGTTACTTGTTTTGTCAGCTTTGCCAGTCTCCCACCCACTCATTTTGGGATAGATTAGTACTCAGCTGTAGCCAACATGTTTTCTGAACTTTGCATTGCATGTTGGACGTAGCCAGCACCATGTCTATAACTGCGATGACTGTGTACCAGTGTATCAGACATCTTGTCTCTAAGATTTTTGAAATATTTGGAGAAATGCACATTGTGGTCTAAGACCCTCATGTTTAAGGGATGAATTTTGTCAGCTCCAGGAGCAGTGAAGTCTTGCACCCTTTGTCCCTGGAAAAATTTTCTTCTGCTTCCAACAAATAAATAAAAAAAACAACCAAAAAACCTCCGAGCCTCCCCTTCCCCCCAGAAAAAAACAAACCAAAACAGGGATCTCAGGATGGGTCCTTTACCTCAAGCCAAACACCTAGACGCTGAACTTTTCAGCTTCAGGATGTTTTAGGGCAGCCAGAGCATCAGAGGAAATCGCAATATTCCTTTGCCTTGTGTATCAGCTGATCCCAGCTCTGCACACAAATGCTGTTACCTTGGGAGCACGTGCAATAGAGAATCAGGAAAAATCCTGTGATTCAGCCTCATATTTTTTCCATCTCAGCCTGGACTCCATGTATGTCTTTGTGCATGGTGGGTATGATGTACTGAAGGATAACATACATATTTTGTCTCGTTGCAGCTGCTACCTCCACGTCTGTCCCTTTTCAAAAGAGACTGGTTCAGTTAAGAGATTTAATGGGGAGGCATAAAACTTTTTTCCTGGATGTCTTAGAGAGAAGGCATTTTACAGGAATGTAAAATGTTTTCTAGTACAAGGGAGGAAAGGAGATTAGCAAATCATTTTGGATTTATAATAGATGCACATGAGGGGAGTACAATTACATATGTGCTTCTCAAGTGGGGATTAGTTTATCTCTGCTTTTATGAGATTTACTTCCCTGTATTTATCAGTGAGTTTCCTTGAAAGTGCCTTTGTTCACTGTGAGAAAATTACCAAAAGAAAGTTCCAACATCTCTCATCATCTACTTTAGTGGTGAGACTGGACAGTGTAAGCACAGAGTCCCCCTCTTCTCTCCTGCTCAGTAATGTTTGCATCACTTCTACGTTAAGGAGTCTGTTCCGATGATGGAAAATCAGTCTTGTCAGTCTTGAAAGGAGTAAGGTCCACATCAGAGTCCTGGAGGCTGAGGTAATGCAGAGTTCATACAAGGTTTTTGTGTTGTGTTCGAGTGATGGGTGTACCACAGCATAAAAATTAAGGGAGGATATAGATTTTGTCCTTTCCAGAAGTAGCTGACTTGTGCTCAGTACATGAAGTATCAAGTTCACTTTCACATGGTTCCGCTTGGCCTTTAAAACAGCTTCACAAGTTGTGTGAGTGCCAGCAGTGGGACATCATATTATGACACTAGGTAGACTACTTAGTCTTGGATGCCAGCAAGAAATACTGAAACTTCTATTCTCAAGACAAGATATGCTTTTGGACGATCATTGTTTGTGGAAATGCTCCTCATTATGATGCCTGGAAGGTCAACACACATCTCTGACACTGGTTCCACACTATGGCAAGAGGCTTTGGTATCAAGACCTTTGTTTACTAGTAGGAATCTTTAATGCTGTGCCTCTTCCTCATACTGGAATATGGATAATCTCCATGTGCATGGAGTTGAATGGCTGGCAGTGCTGGATCATTCCTCTTCTTTACCTCTGAAGGAGATCATTTACTTACAGATGAGTTTACAGAACAGACTGGATTCTCAGTTTGCATTCTTTTGGGCCTGTATCTTTTACTAATACAACAGTTCCAATCATTCTGGATTATTTGCTGGAAACAAAAGTAGTCTGGCCCCTGACTTACTGTTGTTAAGGTTTACTTGATCAAACTGCCAAAGACTTTTTCCTTAGTCAGTCCTACATTTGCTGCTTATGATAATCCTGGACTCACTGTTTGAATCTGGATGGGTTATTTGCTGGTGTTTAAATAGTTGGATTTTTTTAGTTGCAGTAACTGGCTGGTTGATCCTCTTCCTACTGTTTCCTTTCTAGACACATTATTCCGTGGATCTGTCTTAAGTTTCTTTCAAAAGAAACTTCTGAACTTTATTTAAACCTGAGACTTGATGTCCTTTTTTCTAGAGCCTCATGTTTCTAGAGCAAGGGCATCCTTGTTTATGCCAAACACCAGGAGGACCTTATTTTATCTTTACAGAATTGGGTCAGTCAAACAGTCCTTGAGATAGGTGGATAGAGCACAAAACATTCATAGTTCATGCAGAAAGTGGTTAATTGGAAAAGAGGTGGGCAAGGAGGACTCTAAGTGAGAAGGTGAAAAAGTAAATGTTCACAGTCTTGCCCACTAGAAGTAGTAGCATCAAATGAAACTAACAGAGATCAGATTCAAATTAAAAAGGGAAAAGGAGTGTGTGATTTTTTCTTTTTTCCCACAGTGTGTAGTTGACCTTTGGAACTCGGTGTCAATTTATTGTGGATACAAAAAAGTGTAAAAGTGTTTTGAAAAGAGAAGTAGACAAATCCATGAAAAGTTAATTACTAGGGCATATTAAAATTAAAAAACAAGCAGGGAATTTCTAAGACTTTTCAAGTGGCTATTCTGGGAAAGTGGCACAATGGACTTTTCCAAATTTTAGGTTGTCTGTCAGACATGCTGTTGACCACTGTCAGAGAGGTGAGCTAGATGATGTTGTAGTCTGGATGTTTTATTTTGACACTTGCAGTACAGCCTGATAGAACAGCCAAGGCAAAGCTGCCTTCCATGGCAGCGGCATGTTCCCCCAGAATTCACTCTGTGGTGTTTGGTTCTCTAAGAAAAGTCTTCATTGCTAACATCTGTCAAGTTGTCACATGCAATTTATCTACACTTCCACCTGAGTGGGCACTATGTATTGCAGAGGCTTTCAGAATGGTGAAGCTCTTACAAGAGCATAAGGGACACCATAATTCACCTCTAGATAGGGGGGATTTGGAGGGAAAGTCGGTTGCTGTATGGAAGTAATCCATAATATGATATTTGTAAATGGTTAATCACTTAATTATGAAAAATGCTGCTAACTGAAACTCTTAAATTATCTTATTCACTTCTCGTCAT